AATTTTTTTTTTTTTTTTTTGAAGGTGGACCTTTTAAATTTTTTTCAAAAATTTTTTTTTTTTTTGGCCCCCCCCCCGGCCAAATATTTTACGGGTTAGGGATTGCTTTTTAATAATAACCTTCCCCCGATTTTTTTCGGCCGTTTTTTGTTAATTTTTCCAAGGGGGTTGCAAAATTATTGGTTTCCGGTGCCTTTTAAAAGGCAACCGGTTGGGGGGGGGGACCCTTTTTTTTTTTTTTTTCAAAAGGATTCCAAAACGGGAAGGAGTTTTTCGGGGCTTTTTGGGATTGGGGGGGGACAAGAAAGGGGGGAGGGGAGGGGGATTTTAGTTTTTTTGTTGTTGGGGGTGGGGGGGGGGGGGGGGGGGGAGTTAGAAAAAATGGGGTTATTAGGGGAGGGGGGGAGGAGGTTAATAGAGGAGAAAGGGGGAGGGGGGGGGGGGGGGGGGGGGGGGCGACAGCTGTAGACGAGCTCGACGAGCGGTCGAGGCGTCGCGGGCGGCGTTGGCTGTTGACCCTGGCGCGGTTCATGGCGAGGCCCCGGGAGTTCGAGCTTAGGAGGGCTGCCGCCGTCCGGGCCTTCACGCCCCAGAAGTTTCGTCAGGAGTGGGAGCTGTTCTGGGAGCTGGTGGACCCGGTCTTCGATGGGTTGGAGAAGACGACGGAGGTCAGGGATGAAAGACGAAGACGCACTCGATGATGGTCTATTATCGGTTTCTTCGTGTTGTGCTTTCGCCATAAGGAGCGTTCGTTCTAGGATGTTCACCCCCCCCTTTCGTGAGATACGCATTCCGCGGTTGGAGATGCGGTTGCGGCTGGCTCGCAGCGGAGCCGGCTGTTGTATCTCGCGATGGGGGGCTGAGTTAACACCGGCTCTACCCCCGAGGCTGCCACACACGGCGTTGCCTGAGGCTTCATGGATAAATAGGAATGGGAGAGATAGGCAGGGTGTGTCGAGGTTGGGTCGCGTCCTTATCCCTAAGGGGAGCATGGGTCCCTACACAGTAGGTCCGGGTGTCCGTGAATGCTAGCGCCCTCCTTGCTTGCTTGGCCTGGTCGTGAATACGGTATCTATCTGCAACGCCAACGCTGGAGCGAGCGGGTTGCAGAGAGGACCCGAGCACCTAAGCTTTGCAACTACAGCGTTCGAGATGCCGTTGGACACTGTGAACTCATTGCCGTTTTGTCCTGGACTTTTTCATCTGTGCAAACAGCAGAGACGCATATATTTCATGTTTGGAAAAACAATAACAAAAAGGACAGTTGCTCCCGCTAACGTGCCGCATCACCTACTGTGTCTACCAGTGCATGGTGGGATGAAATCAGGGGCGGGGGGGGGGGGGGACGATGGACGAGCGCGATCACGGGAAGTCCGAACGACCATACCCACCACGCCTGCGCCGCCTCTGACACCTTTCTCCCCGTTCCACCCTCCTGTGCTGCTGCGGTGTGTGTGTGTGTGTGTTTTAGCAGGCTGACCAAGGAAAATAAGACATCAATCTTGCAGCGGAATGAAAAACGAGAACCGTTTCTAATCAAGTGTGTGTGTGCGTGCGTACCAGGATCTGCTGCAATGGAAAAATCCCGTGCAGAGCCTGTCGGTGATGACCGGGCTGCTCTTGGTGGCCTACCACGACCTCGTCCGCTACGCGATACCGCTGGCGCTGCTCGCCAACGTCGCGTACATCTACGGTGAGCTGACGACTGAGTTTTGCCTTTTTGCTCGTAAATCTTGTTCATTGTTAATGACCTCTCTGCCAAGTGAACGTTTTTTTTTTTTTTTCTCCTTTTCGCTCGACGTTTTGGTGGTATGCAGCCCAGGAAGAAAAAAAAGGAACAGCAGTACATGCGTCTGCGGTTGGATGGTCTCGCGCCCTCCGGCGTCTCCCTGAGTAGCGCTGACCTTTCTGTCTCTCTCTCTGTTCTGTGTGCTTCGTATGTGTACAACATGATCGCTCTATTCCTCTCTATCTCTTTCTCTCTCTCTGTCTCTCTCTTTCTCTCTCTTTGGTTCTGTCTCCCCTCTCCCTCGCTTTCTCGTGTGAATGCAAAACGAATACGTCCAAATGTGGAGAGTGCGTGCGATGTGTATGTGCGCGTTTGGCTCGATGCTACGTGCAATAGGATCCTTGGTTTATGATTGATCGTCGTCGTCGTATTCGAACATCATCTTCCAGCCATTCTTCGGTCGGGAACGGGCACCATCGCCTGATGTGCGTGTATATGTGGGGAAGCTTGGCCGTGCGTGATAACGATGTCCGAAAATCCCGAATCGAAAATCCCAAAGTTGATACCGGAGCATTTTGGAATTTGGGATAGCTAATTTTGAAAATGACCATTCGAGAATGTCAAGAGTGAGCTCTGATGGAAACCCAGATCAAGGATTTATTTCTTTTGGCCTTTGACCAATCAGAGCCCAATTTTGATTCTTGGTTTTGGTTGTTTGAACCCCGTCACTACCGGGCCTTACCCGGCTGGTCCGCCGGTCGCGCGTGTTCATTCCTCCGACATGCATGGAAATGACTCGCGGAATACCTCACGGCGCTCTGAGCTTGTTGATGTGAGAGCCTGGTCCCGTGAGAACCCGGCGTGCTCCGTCCCGCCTTTGAAGGGATGCGATGTCAATGTACGGCATGCAACCCCCCTCCCCCCCCCCTGAAATGGCAATAATGCTGGTTTTGAAGGTGTGGGGTGCATCACGACGGATGGCGGTGGCGTTGGTGGTGGCGGCGGCGGCGGCTTTGGAGATGGCCGTGCCGATCTTTACGGCAATGCCCCCAGGAAACGACCCGAAGGCGGTGGTCAGCAACAGCAACAGCCACAGCAACAGCACACCAGGCGGCGAACGTGAGACAGACAGAGAGACAGACAGACATACAGACAGAGACAGAGAGAGAAAGAGAGAGAGAGAGCACCCAACAACTATCCTAGCCGTTGGCAATTTCGGGTATGCTGCGGTTGGGTTGGTCACGTCGAATTTTTGGCGCTGCGGTCGGTGTTCGGGTCAACGGGCTCAAGGGCCGGCCTGCCTGACCGCTGACTGCTTCCCGTGTAACCTCCCCAAACCCTCTAAGTAGACGCACGATAGCCAATCTACTTGAGTTTTTTTTATTTTTTTTGCTGCCGCGTCTCTTTCGGGGCACCGTTTCCCGGCGGCCACTGACCCTTGCTTCTATCCCAATCCTCCCTCTTAACTCCCACCTACCGTCTTCGACGCAGGCTAGAATGCCCCCCCCCCACCCTGCTAACAGCACACCTCGGCTCGAAATCTCCCCACAACTCGGTGCCTTGACAATAAATGTTCCCCTTGCAGCTCGGGCGGGAGGTTGGGCGCCGAAGGCGACGGCAGCCGGCGATCGAGGTCCACGTCCCCTGTGCCCGGCTCAAGACGGCAGCGGCCCGCGTCCTCGCCGTCCGCCGCCGCAGCCGCCGGTGGTACGGCGCCGGGAGTTCAACGCTCGGCGGCGTCTTCGAGGATGGCCACTGCACGGACCGGCGGCAGCGCGAAAGGGGAACCGTCGTCCAACGTGGTGAGGGCCGCAGATAGGGAGGTGTCAGCGTCCGCAAGCCGTGGTGTTGTTGCCGGTGCCGATGAGTCATGGGCCCGGGAGGCGCCAGCGGTGGGGGAGAGAAACGCGCACGGCCAAGGTGCTTCGGGCTCGGTGGGGACCCCTCGGGCCGGGGGCGAGGAGGAGATGGCGGTGTCGGGGAAGTCGTCTGGGGGACCCGCCGCCGCCGCTTCGCAACGCCTACAGCAGCAGCAGCAGCAGCAGCAGCAGCAGCAGCAGCAGCAGCAGCAGCAGCAGCAGGAGGGCGGGATAATTAGCCGCGTGAAGGGCATGCAGGACCGCGCGGGACGAACTCAGGTGCGTGGGTGACGCAAGATATCACCCCCCGCCGCTGGATCGATTTTCACAACTCCATTACGAAAATGATATATTGTTCGAGCGATAAGGTTTTCGGAGACGAGACTGTTCCGACGCCTCTGTTCATCGGCACCGCCGCTCTTTCTGCTGGGGAGAAATCGAGCGTTAAAAGTCACCCCAGGGGGTCTGGTATCTTGTGCCACTTACGGCATTATCTCATGGGGGAGCCTTGGTTGTGCTTGCTGTTGGAGAGGAACAGAAAACGTCGGGGTAGGAAGTCATATGGAACGTGTGGTGAAATGTCTTGAAAGGAAAAAGCCTCCGTCGTTTTTTTGGGTGTTCGATGCTAGTGCAAACGGTTCCATGCCGATCAGTACCGAACCATGGCATGCGATACAAGACGCCCCGCTGATATCTAACGACTCGGCTTCCAAAACATTTTGACTAGGTGTGTTTAGTGTTGGGTGTGTGGTACATCTCGTGTCGCCCATTGCTTCAACTGGGAACAGGATCCTATTTGGGGCTCATTTTTTTTTTTTGTTTGTTTTGCTCGTATTGACCCATTAAATTTGAATACCGGTTGTCGTTCTCGTGTGTTCGTGTGGGTGTGTTATCATATAAAGCGTACGTTACCCTACAAACAAACCAATCAGCGCTTGGTGTCACAGTTTGTTTCGAGACTTGAGTGTGCAGGTTACGTTTGTCTTTTGCCCGTGTTGGCGACAGCAAGAGATGGGAGGGCGTGTCCCCTGTCCCCGATGTGTGGTGCTTTCTCTGTCACCCTGCGGTATACTTGGGCTTGTTTTTTTTTTGCCATAACCACCGACACCGATGCGTGAACGCTTTTCGTGCGGAATCCAAGCCTTGATTTGCAGCGTTGTGGGAGGTCTGGGCGTTATGGAGGCCAAAGAGAGGAGTGGCAGTATTGCACTGGCAACAATACATAGACTGCACCACCCGTGATTTTGGAAGCTCGAATAGCTTCATGTTGCTCACTCACCCACCACCACCACCAACCTTCCTTTTTAGTTTTTTTTCGGGCACGCTTTTCAAGGTGTTCACCTCCCGCCGAGGCACCGTCCATGTCTCTCGACCTCGCTATGTACAGCCGCAGCTGAAATTCCCCCTTCCCCACGCCGGCTGAATCCCCAGGCGAAGCTTCACGCCTACAACGCTGTGCTGCTCAGGGTGAAAAGTCTGCACGCCTGGAGCGACCCTGGACGGACCAAAGTCTGGGCGGCCGCTGTCTCGCTTCTGGCAGCGTTGCTCGCGATCGTACCAGCGAGGTACGTGCGCTTCATTCTGATGTTGGAGTACTATCTATTATTAGCTGAAGCGGAGCAGTAAGTAATATTTTTCTGCGTGCAGGAAGAAAGATAACGAAATTCTGTAGCATCAAGCTCGATGATCATGGCCGTGGTATTCTATTTAGACAACTCCTGTTGCTGGTATCATTTGTTTGTTGTTTTTCGCGTTTCGGCGCGATTGTGGTGGTCCGTTTTTTCATTTCCTTCCTCGCCTCCATCATTTCCATTCCCGAAATCCCAAACTCACTCTACCTGTTTGGACAGTTGCCTGACGTTGCCGTTGTGCGGCTTGGTACTTGAGGAGAGATTTGAAAGACTAGTGCCATGTATCACTCCAGCAGCAACGTCTACTCAACCGTTCGAATCGAATGTGGCTAGCAAGACCCTGACCATAACGCGCCCCCCCCCCCCCCCCCGGGATAACTTTGGGGGGGTGGGGGTGTTTCCAATCCCGACCCGTCC